CCCAAGCTAAGTTACTATAGCATTCCCTCACTCACTCACCAGGTCCTTGGTGACAAAACCCAAGCTAGAGGTACGTGGATACCATTCCCTGCACTCACTCACCAGCGTCTGGTTGGACAACCAGCTTAATACTATACCATCCCCTCACTCACCTCACCAAGGTCTCGGTGACAAGCTGAGCTAAGTTATATACCATCCCCTCACTCAGCTCACCAGGTCTGGGTGACAAACCAAGCTTAAGTACGTATACCAGTCCCCTCACTCATCACCAGGTCTGGTGACATGTCCAGCTATAGTACTATACCATCCCTCACTCACTCACCAGGTCTGGCTGGACACCCGAGCTAAGTACTATACCATCCCCTCACTCACTCAGCCGTCTTGGTGACAAGCTGAGCTAAGTACTATACATCCCCTCACTCACTCACCAGGTCTGGTGACAACCGAGCTAAGTACTATACCATCCCCCACTCACTCACCAGGTCTGGTGACAGCTGAGTAAAGTACTATTACGCATCCCCTCACTCACTCACCAGGTCTGGTGACAAGCCAAGCTAAGTACTATACCATCCCCTCACTCACTCACCAGGTCTGGTGACAACCCGAGCTAAGTACTATACCATCCCCTCACTCACTCACCAGGTCTGGTGACAACCTGAGTAAGTACTATACCATCCCCTCACTCACTCACCAGGTTCTCGCGTGACAACCTGCAGCTAGCAGTACTATACCATCCCCTCTCTACTCACACGGTCTTGGGTGACAAAACCAAGCTAAGGCTATATACATCCCCTCACTCACTCACCACGCGGTCTGGTGACAACCCGAGCTAAGTACTATACCATCCCCTCACTCCACTCAACTCACCAGGTCGTGGTGACCAAGCTGAGCTACCTGTAGTTACTATACATTCCCCTCACTCCACTCACTCACCAGGGTCTGCGTCGGACAACCCGGATGACTAAGTACGCTATACCATCCCCTCACTCACTCAACTCACCAGTCTGGTGACAAGCTGTGAGCTAAGAATTCACGTACTATACCATCCCCTCACTCACTCACCAGGTCTGCGATGACAACCGCTAGTAGCCATATACCATCCCTCTCATCTCACTCACCTCACCAGGTCTGGTGACACCCGACGCTACTGAGTACTATACCATCCCCTCACTCACTCACCAGGTCTGGTGACAACCCGAAGCTAAGTACTATACCATCCTCACTCACTCCACCCACGGCTCTTTGACACGGGTCGAGCTAAACCCCAGCTCAAGTTACTATGACCATCCCCCTCACTCACTCACCAGGTTGCTGGTACACATCCCCGAGCTAAGTACCCTTCTACCATTCCCTCAGGTCTCATCTGCACCAGGTCTCCGGTGACAAGTACCCAAGCTACATTCATACCATCCCCTACACTCACTCACCAGGTCTTGGTTGAAACCCAGAGCTATAATACTATACCATCCCCTCACTCACTCACCAGGTCTGCGTTGACGAACCCAAGCTAGTACTATACCATCCCTCACTCACTCGACCAGGTTCTGGCGTGACAAGCCAAAGCTAAGGTACTATACATCCCCTCACTCACTCACTCACCAGGTCTGGTGACAACCAAGCGCTACAGCTACTATACCATTCCCCTCACTCACTCACTAGCGCTCTCCGTGACAACCCAACGCTTAAGTACGGCTATACCATTCCCTCACTCACTCACCAGTCTGGTGACAGACCCAAGCTAACAGTACCCTATACCATCCTCACTCACTCCACCAGGTCTGCCGTTGAACAACCCAGCTAAGCTCACGTATTACCATCCCCTCACTCACTCACCAGCTCCTTGGTGACAAGCGGGAGCTATTAGTTACTATACTCATCCCCCTGCTCACCTCCACTCACCACCTAGGTCTGGTGGCAGACCCAAGCTAATACTATACCATCCTCCCCTCACCTTCGATCACCAGGTTCTGGTGACAAGCCTGACGCCTGGATAGCTACTATACCATCCCCTCACTTCACTCACCGCGTCTGGGTGACAACCCGAGCTAAGTACTATACCATCCCCTCACTCACTCACCAGGTCTGGTGACAAGCTGAGCTAAGTACTATACCATCCCCTCACTCACTCACCAGGTCTGCAGGTGACAACCTGAGCTAAGTACTATAACCATCCCTCACTCACTCACCAAGGTCTGGTGGACAATGCTGGGCTAAAAAGTTTTTTTTTTTTTTTAACTTTACCATCCCCTCACTCACTCACCAGGTCTGGTGAAACCCAAGCTTAAGTACTATACCATCCCTCACTCACTTCACCAGTTCTCGGTGACAACCCGAGCTAATACTATACCATCCCCTCACTCAGCTCACCAGCGTCTCGGTGACAAGCCTGAGCTAATACCTATACCATTCCCCTCGACTCACTCACTCCAGGTCGCTTGGTGACAACTTCTTGAGCTAAGTTACGCTAACCATCCCTCACGCACTCACCAGGTCTTGGTGACAACCCAAGCTAAAGTACCTTCTATACCATTCCCCTCACCAGCTCACCATAGGTTTCTGTGTGGACAACCCCGAGGCTAACGTACTACTACCATCCCCTCACATCACTCACTCACCAGGTTCTGTTGTGACAACAGCTGAGCTCCAAGTAACCTTAGTACCATGCCCTTCCACTCACTCCGCACTCACCAGGTCTTGGGTGACGAACCCGAGCTACGCAGTACGCGTTAATACCATCCTCTCACTCACAGTCCACTCACTCAGGTCTGTGACAAGCCTGAGCTAAGTACTATACCATCCCTCACTCACTCACCAGTCTGAGTGAGCAACACCGGAGCCTACACTACGTATACCATCCCTCACTCACTCATCACCACGTCTTCCGTCAGCTTGAGCTAAGTACCTATACCATCCACCTGCACTCACTCACTCAGCCAGGTCTTGTGACAGACGCCGAGCTTAAGTACTATACGCATCCCTTCACTCAGGCTCTCACCAGGTCTGCGCGTGACAAGCTGAGTAAGTACTACTTACCATCCCCTCACTCACTTCACCCAGGTCTGGTGACAACCTGAGCTAAGTACGAGGTTATGCCATCCCCTCAACTCATCGACCAGGTCTGAGTGACAACCCCGAGCTAAGTACTATACATCCCTCACAGTCACTCACCAGGTCTGGTGAACAAGCCAAGCCCTAAGTACGTATACCATCCCTCAATCACTCACCACCGGTTTCTGGGTGAGCAAGCCAAGTAAGTTACTATACCATCCCCTCACTCACTCACCAGACGTCTGGTCCGCACAACTCCCGAGCTAATACTATACCATCCCTCACTCACTCACCACGTCTGTACATCCGCGCTAGCTTACTAGTTAAGCGTATTCATCCTGCACTCACTCACCAGGTCTCCTGGTGAGCAACCTGAGCTAAGTACTATTACCATGTCCCCTCACTCACCTCACGCAGGTCTGTGACAACCCGATCCTAAGTACCTATACCATCCCTCACTCACTCCGCAGGTCTGGTGACAAGGCCCTAAGCTAAGTACTATACCATCCCTCCACCTACTCACCAGGTCTGGTGACAACCCAAACTTAAGTACTATTACCATCCCCTCCACTCACTCACCAGTGTCTTCGGGTGACAGTCCCACTAGCCTAAGTCACTTATACCATCCCCTCACTCACTCACCATCGTCTGGTGACACCCTGACTAAGGTGCTACTATACCATCCCCTCACTCACTCACCCTTCACTCACCAGTTCCGGTTCTGCCTTCTCCCGGTGCCACCAACCACTGAGCTATCTCCATCGTTATCATCGCCGTACCCCCCTCCGATCACGCTCAATCCCCCCTCACTCACTCACTCACACTGTCCCTTGCACGTGATCCATGGCCAACTCTAACAGAGTACACCTCTATCTTATACCATCCGCCCCCTATCTCACTCACCATGGTCTGAGGTGACACAGCCAGCTCTAACATACCTACCTACCATCCCATCATCTCACTCCTCTGGCACCAGCGCTCTTCCGGTGACAAGCCCGCAAGCTAAGCCTACCTATACCTCCTCCCCGATCACTCACTCAGCAGGTCTGCGTGCACGCACGCCGAGCTATATGTACCTTGATACCCAACTCTCCACTTCACTCAGCTCTCACCTCAGGTTCTTTGTCTCGCCTTCTCCAGGCTGACAAGCCAAGCTAGAGTCACCCATATACCACTCCCTCACTCACTCACTCACCAGGTCTGGCTGACAAACCCGCGCTACTTCGGTTTTAACTCTATACCACATCCCTGTCTAGCACCTCACTCACCAGGTACTGCCACTATTCTCGTGACAAACCTGAGCTTCAGTAACTATACCGCATCCCCTTCCACTCACTCACACCAGCGTCTGGTGACATAACACGCGACCTCAGAGTACGTCATGAGCGCAGTCCTCCTCCTCACGTCACCCTCACCAGGTCTCGGCTGACCAAGCCAAGCCTAAGTACTTATATACCCATACCCCTTCACATGCGAGTCTCACGCAGGTCTAAGCCCCGCTCAACGTGCGACAACCCACTGACCTACCCCCATACTCCTCGTCAAAGCTTCCTCAATGCTCAAATACCCTCATCTCACTCAGCCCAGGTCTGGGTGCACAGCCAAGCTAAGTTACTATACCATCCCCTCCACTCAGCTCAACCAGGCTCTAAGCGCTTTCGCCGACTCAAATAGTCCACTCACAGGCTCTACGCCCTCATCTTATCCGACCTCTCTCGGTCTATCATCCCCGTTACCTTCCACTTTAGCTTGGCGTTCCACCTATCCATTCCCCTCTCCGCTGCACTCACTCACCAGTCTGTGTGAACAACTCCTCGAGCACTATAACGTTACGTATACCAGTCCCCTCACTCACTCACCACCGGATCTCCCCGTGACAGCCAAAGCTAGATACTAATACCCATCCCTCGACTCACTCACCAGTCTGGTGTAGCAGAGCCAAGCGCCTCTCAGCTCCCTGCACGCTCGCGTTGCGTTGTGCTCGTTGGCTTTGTCTTTTGTTCGCCGGTAGCCTTCGGCTGTGGAACAAGGCTGACGTGCACAACACAGAAGTTCTCTTGTTTGACACGGAACTGGAACTGCCGAAATGCCTCGACAAACGGCATGCCCTCTATGTCGCCAATCGTGCCGCCGAGCTGAAAACAATACAACGCTTAGTACCAGTAGTGTTTGAGCTAGGTTAAAAAAAAAAGTGGCTATGTGCTAAAAAATAGCATGCGTTTCAGCTGAGGTCTAAATGTAAACAGGCTAAGAGTGACAAGGGCTTGCAAGTCTGTGTTGTGTGAGCATGTGGGTTTGAACAGGGGGGGGGGGTTAACGCACAGGTCAGACAAATGTTTTGTATTCCATGTTGGCTGCCTCCCGACCGACCTCACGAAAATCCCGTCGACCCAAAAGTTTTTTTTAGCATTTCTGGGTTCCATAATTTTTTTTTTTCATTTTTCATAAGCATTAAGACTGAAAACACAAGCTATGTGTGGCAGAACATGAGACAGCAGCCTTAACAATAACTATTATGGCCATCATAAAAAAAAATGACCTACCTACTACACTAAAAAATCATGGTCGGGAACAGCAAACATAGAATTCTTTTAAGGATGGCCTAACTTGTCACATCTACAGCAGAGCGTGATAATGAGAAGGTCAAGACTTAGTTATTAATAACTCTGAACAACAAACAGCAGGACAGAAAAAGGAATTGTATGGATGGAAAACCAGGTGTAGGGTTTGTGTTAGGTTAGGTAGTATGGTAAATAGAAAGTACAATGCAAGGCCAATTTAAGCCATAAAAACGGTGAACAGAATCACTTACATTACAGGGATGAGAAATTGGATCAATCTAATTTTCAGCTGAAAGAAATTTAATTAGCAAACACGAGGCCGAGCGAAGCGAGGAACCGTAGTCAGTCGCCATGCTGAGGGGGTCCGGGCATGGCGCGCCCGGAACTTTTTAAAAAGACATGGGTGGCAACTTTGGTGCATTCTAAGCTATTCTTGACCAAGATTGAGTAGAGACTCTTGAATCGAGCGTTCAAGTTGTCAAAAATGGAACAAGTCGAACTATAAAATAGCGAATATCAGGCGAGCTTGAAATAGGCAACTGTCTTTTTTATTAAATGCTCAGACATAATGATATTTTTCTGTTTCCACCCGCGCGCTGCATTTTTTTACTCAGACATAAGCTGCTTGCTGCGACCAGATTGTGAATGAATAAAAACCCCAATGCGAATGAAGGCAGATTGGACTCAGTGCATAGTCATGCACACAACATCACACAGCAACATGTAAACGCCAGCGCCAGCCAGGCATGGTCGTACGACAGCCTACCTCAACAATGTCTGCCCCTTCTCTGCAGCCTGATAACGATGCTTTCTGCTTCTGGTAGCGCAAAACAGATACACTGTATATCTTCGCTTAAAAGCCTACGTCTACACTCTAACATAATACCATCAGGTCTGTTGAGTATCATAATTAACATTGTAAGCCATTGTTACCCCGCGCTCCGCAATTTTCTCACGAATTTAATGTTTCACAAAACACCCGGACTGCAATCCGCGAAGAATCTCAGTTCGCGCTGATTAATGTGAAAAAGTGCATAGATTTTTTTAAGCTTTACTATTTTACGGTGACGTAATAACCAGTTTCCAAACACCAGTGCTTCACACTCACCGCTCGATGATGCAGACTTCAAGGTTCTTCGTTTGTGTCGTCGACGAGGGATCTTGGCGACACGCTCGAAGCCCACTCCTGTATGTGTCGGTGATGTGTGGCACCACTGTGTGTCAGATGGAGCAACGAGAAACCACAGGTGAGGAGGGCACGAAATTCACACGTTTTTTTTGACACCGCACAAAGCGGCTGGCAAACCGCAGTTTTTTACCAGCCCTCACAATTTTTTCCGCTTCAAAAATGAAAGATAAGATTTTTTGAAACAGTGAATCCACTGACTCCGCTTGTCAAAAAATATTGTAAGTTGGGGCGCGCCTCGCGCTAGTAGCTGTTGAAGCAAAGCTATAATGGCCAGATTGTTGAATGATGTCCAAAGGTTTTTTGTTCGATGCCATGGTTCACGCGTGCATTCTCGATTTCAAATTTATAATGTGATATTTGGCATGAATCCTCCGCTAAAACAGTATTGTAGGCCTATTGCTCATTAATGCTAAAATAAAAATGTAGGTACTCGCTAACACAGCTGAAACCACTGGCTCAGAGGGTTCTCACATCTCTCTTACCCTGCCCTTACCCTGTACCACACATCTCTCTCACCCTGCCCTTACCCTGTGCCACACATCTCTCTTACCCTGCCCTTACCCTGTACCACACATCTCTCCGGTACCAGCCGCTGCCCTTACCCTGCTACCACACAGTCGCTTACTTCCTGCCCTTACCGCTGTGGCCACACAATGCTCTCTTCCAATGCCTACGCCTGTGCCCACAATTCTCGTCTACGCGCCTGCCCTTACCTGACCACACATCTGCCCTTACGACCTGCCTTACCCTGTGACACCCATCTCTTCTTACCCCTGTAGCCTTACACGCTGTAACACACACTCTCTCCTACCCTGTACCCACATCTTCTCTACCTCGTACCACACATCTGCTCTACCGTGCCTTGACTCTGTACCCACACATCTCTACCTCGCGCTTGTACCCCCCTGTACCACACATCTCTTACCCTGCCCTTACCCTGTGCCACACATCTCTCTTAACCTGCCCTTACCCTGTGTCTCACATCTCTCTTACCCTGTGTCTCACATCTCTCTTACCCTGCACGGTCTTCCCGAGGTAATCTCCCTTCCGTTCCTTGTTGATGACATACTGGTAGATTTTGCCCGTCGTGATGTTGTTGTCACTGTGGAGCTTGATGTCAAGGAAGCGCTCATAGTTGCCAAGGTCAAGGTCAACCTCTCCCCCGTCGTCCAGGACGTAGACTTCACCTGTGTGCACAAAACAACAAAGTTTTTTGGATATATTTAGGAGGATATTTGGCAAGTGTGGTAACGGAGTGTGAAGGACACGTGTGGAAGGAGGTTGTCTTGGTAGATTGGAAAGTGAATGTTCTACCAAATAGGACTGGCTCAGGGTTGGTGGCAGGATATCAACATTCTGCATGCTAACCTTGCTGTAGTGTGGAGAGGGATCACTGTCAGGGCTTCTTCTCAGGGAAAATTTGACAGAGGAGGTAAAGGCCAGATGGAGAACAAACGCGCATGATGGATTCATTGAATCAATGGCGTGACGTGACGTAGGCACGCATGCGGACGCTGCAGACGGACGCGGGGAAAGAGAGGGAGAGGGGGAACTCCACCTCTGGCTGGGGGGAGGGCTCTAGGGGGTCGCCCCCCGCAATCTAAACATGCACCAAGCATGTGGTGATCTATTTATTTTTGGGTTGACACCGTTTTGACAACGGCGATGTTAAAATTGACAACGGCGGTGCGCCACTGTGCCTGTTATGTATGAGAAACCCTGGCCAGGTTTTATTGCTATTAAAACCTGGCGCACACGCAAGCTATATTAATTCAGCAATATAAGCAATAAAGCTTTAGTCGCCGGATTTTATCTCAGGAAATAATGCATGCATCCCGCAGACGTTACACCGCGTGCGCGTGTTACCGATTAAAATCAGGATAAATACAGTAAACATCCGCATAGAAGAGCCTAGTGATTAAGAACCTGTTAGGCCAAGATTTTACATTTAGACCCCCTTGACATAAGAACCTGTTTTAGCCTGAAATTTGAAACAGGTTCTTATTTGATAAAATTCAGTTAACAAGTTCAGAGTAATGTACAAAAATACAGTACAGTGCAGTTTCACTGAATACATTATGAAATCAAGCCTTGTCCATTGACTGACGGACGGACGTACGACGTACGACACCACATGGCAATAGCTCAGCTTGACGATGTCAAGGTGAGCTAAAGACGTACTAGGTACTCGCTAACACGGCTGAAATCACCGGCTCGGAGGGTCGGTGTTTTGCCAATGTTAACGGCCCTCCAAATAATTTGCTGGCATCGGTTACTTGGGTCCATACGGTTGTCGGTGGGCCGGTGCTAATTTGGCGCCCTGAGCCACCCACACCCTTTTCTTCACAAAAACACGTTATTTATGAATTAGGAACCAGGAAGGGAAGGAGAGGATGAAAAGACGATAAAGACAACCAAGAAGAAAACTAACAGCAAGAAACAACAAACAGCCTCACCGTGCTCGTATGGAGAGAAGGTGCCTGCGTCTATGTTGATATAGGGGTCGATCTTGATAGAGGTCACACGAAGGCCGCATGACTTGAGTATCGTTCCGATGCTGCTCGCAATGACACCCTTACCGATGCCACTGATTACACCACCGGACACCAGTATGTACTTCATTGTAGCTGCTGCTGCCGAGCTGCTGCTGCTGCTGCTGAGCTGTATATAGTACGAATAAAAGGTTAAACAAGATCTCATCATCCTAAAGGTTAAGGAAATACACTGAACATAGGTGCGGCCACAATACAAAATAACATGTGCAATCATGGGGAAATGCTTGCTCCCATTACTAGAAACATTGTAAAGTTCCGAGTAGAGTTAATGCTATGATAATACCCATGTATATGGATGGATAAAAAAATGAGATAAAAAATACTCATGAGAATGGATAAAAAAAATCAAATCCAAATGTTTACTGCACATTAAAGGAAAACATGCTTAGGTTAAGATTCAATATTTGAAAATAATAACTGGCAAACACATGGCAGGATCATTCATCACTTCATCACCTTCTCCTCTACTACTTCAAACCACTCACACAAAGCTATCATTACGTTTCCAACTTGATACTACCTGTGTTACAAGTTATCTAAGAGTTAGCTATCTACATTTGCATTATATAAAATCCGTTTTTATATATATATATATCTTTGCTCAGAATACATCCTTGAGAAAAACATGTTTTTATGAGGTGTTATCACTACCACCATGCGAATTCTTACCCTGCAGCCAGCCACTTACTTTATGACTCCATCGGCATTTCATCGCTACATTGAAATACACGGGGGGGCCATCACTTCCAAGCAGTACTGTGCTCATCATCACACGGCTCATGTTCATGCACTTAACTATGTATACATGACGCATACAATCAGAAGTAGATAATCGGGATTCCCTATAATTCTATATCCTTATAATAATCCTTATAGGGATTCCCTATAATCTTATAGGGATATCTTAAATATCCTTATTTATTCCCTATTATGCTTACTTCTGATACAATGTAACGAGCAGTGGCGGCTATCCATATACACCAGGAGTGAATAGAACAAATCAACTTAAATTAACAAATTTAAATTTATTTTCATTCCCTCCTGATATACATCACGCTCTGATTAGATCTCTCTATATATATTGCACATACGTGATAACGATGTTGGTGGGGGGGGGGTATGATCAACACTCATATTCACACTGACTGAGTGCAGCATTTTGCTTTTGCTCAAACTGTTTTAATTGCGTCCGAAATATGGAACTAGATATTAATTTGTGCCCCAAACACTGCTGCCAAAGCAGACTAGCGTGTGTCTGACCTGATGAACGCTGCTGATAGACACAATGCTGTAACATGGGTGTCAGTAATTTCTTTTAGTTTACTCATCTTTGATTACAGCTCTTTGATTCACAATATTCGATCACAATCTTGACGGGTATTGGCTTCATTGTTAATAAAATAGATGAACAAATCTACTTGTCTGAATTGTACTGAATGTAGTCAGCAGCCATGGAATGAAGCCTCATCGTATATAAGGCTGCCCCAGCTATAGTAACACTTGTGTGGACAAAAGACCTGGGATACAGCTTTTTCATATACGAGGCTGCACCTATGGGTGCCTATACGTAACGCCATAACAAATCTCAACTGGCTAAAGTTCAACAAACACTTCAGCACAACGTCGACCCTAACGTTGACAAATGTTAGAAGATAAAAACTATTGTCTTTAATGATCCGTCGTTGCACATGCATGTTGTAATGTTTCGGTGAGCAACCGGTTGAAACGATGAACAATATTAGAATTCAGAATTTCACAAATTCATAGGTAACCCGTAGGGTAAATTACCCTACGGATTTGTTACGGATTTCATGAGGAAACTGAACGAAATCCATACGGATTACTTAAAAAGAACTTGTCGTTACAGTGCTCGCTTCCACCTCTGCAACTTCTTAGTCAGTTTGTCTTAAAATCATTAAATGTACACAGAGCAGAAACAGAGTCTGGGTGGCAGAGCCATTATACAGCATTTCAATCAACTATCTGACAAATCTGTCAATAAAATGCTGAGCTCCCAACGCTAAAATTGCAATGTTTCACTTTAAGGTATTTTATTCAGGACGGTTTGTCTGCATGTAATTTTCCTTTCATAAGTAAAATTTAGCCTACCCTGTACGGATTATTAGATTTTGAGCGGAATTTGCTCATTCGTGAAGGAACAATCGTACATCAAACTGGGAAAATTCGAGCCCTGTGTATATGGTGTATATTTCACGGTGTTTTAATTTTCGCGAATTTCGCAAACGCGTCTCCGAAATTGTCCTTCAAGTCTGAATTCGTGAAAATATCTGTACGCGAAAAATATGGCGTATACAGTAGTCGAGTGACACCCCATAAATAGCTTCACAACCATGAATATTGTTTTCAGCGGAACATGGCAGACGATTCCTGAACGATTCTGAATGATTTCTGAATGAAATGGGATTGTCGGCTGTGTGACGGCTGCAATAACACCTGTCAAAATGACCGTTTACGTGCAAGGAATTTTGGTTTTACACGATCTGGAGCATTGATTGCGCAAGGTTGCACAGTTAAAAGAAAATATAAATTTGGCTATGTTTAGCACAGGACTTCGAAGGTAATGCCACGGCACTGGTAAGCCCATTTAACATTTTGAACACTCGAGTTTACAAACTTAAAGTTGCTACTATTGTGCTGTGCTCAAACCTAGTTTGAGACCCTAGTGTAGCTCATAGGGTCTATGTACCCCCAGGTACTGCCGGAACATACCGTGGGTCCGGTATACCGGGACGTACCCTGGTAACAATCTGATATGGTTAGGGTTAGGGTTAGGGTTAGGGAGTAGGCATAGGCGACTCCCTAGACTCGTTAGTGGCGTAGGCGAGGTAGGGTACGGCATATTAGATAGTAACAGGGTACGTTCCGGCAGTACCCTTAGAGACATAGACCCTCTCAGCCCTAGTATATATATAGTTTGCACGATGTGCACTAAACTGTTGACAGTGTTGTGTGGGAAAACTTTGGCCCATTATACTTGGGCCAAGAATACGTCATTTGCACATGACGCACATTTCCAAAAATGAATTGTGGTCAGCGCTTATATAGTTATATCCATGAACCGAACCTTTGCCCTAATGCAAGATGTTAATGTTTGCACTATGGCTGGGGCCAGTCAATGTGAGTTTTACGATAAATGTTAATATTATTATTGTTAATGTTATGGTTGGTCGTTGTTCCTGCAGACTGCAGTAGCTTGACACATTTTAGCCCTTGGCATTTCACTCTAGCATTCCCAGTTCTTCTGTATAGGCAGAATAGGTAGATAATCGTACTGCTCGGGAGGTAGGATGCTAACACTGTTATAATTACATAACATAATGCACTGAAATGTAATTATTAACTAATTTAAATAGTCGTTTTGCGTTTGCCGCCAAAACGATGAGCACGTTTTCTCCAACAACTCGTTGTTGTAAATTTACATAAAGAAAAACAACAAATTCTCTCCAGAAACAAAAAAGAAATTGCTCAAATATTTCGCTTACCATACACACTTCACAGTTAATAATTACGTAAAAGGCATACGCAGTCAGTGGAAAGGGTAAGCAGTAGAAACAACTTTTGCTTACCAATTGATAATATGAATGAAATTACTCTCTTTTCCCGCATGTATGCCTACCGACTTTTCCCACAACAAAATAGCATTGACGAATTTGCAAGGTTTCAATATATATGCATCAGATTTAACGTCTGTCCAGTTAGTTAAAATTAACAAAAATAATTAAAGCTTTTTTTCATGTCCCACTGCGGTAATAACTTGTTTACCTATTTGTTCTCGAAAGGAATATAAATATTGTTTGTGGGAAATTTAAATGCGCAATGGCGGGCAATGCGGCATCGGAATCATTGAAAACTCCAGATATAGCAATTTCGGGAAATAAAGAGAATGAATCAATTGTGCAGAAACAAAGAATTGGATATGTTTATAGTCAGAATTATGTTACCGTGTGCGATCTCCTTCCAAAAGTGACGAAAAGGGTACCATAGACGTCACCTACACAACTTCGGCGTAGTGTAAACCGACCTAGTTACCAATCTGTCGCACAGCCTGGTCGGGCTATACTACTAGTACTAATACTAATAGATTAGTAATAGTAGTACTAGTACTACTACTAGTACTAGTAGCTAGTAGTAGTAGATACAATAATGTAATCGTATAATCCTTATAGGGATTCCCTATAATTCTATAGGGATATCCTTATAATAATCCTTATTTATTCCCTATTATCTACTTCTGATACAATGTAACGAGCAGTGGGGGCTATCCATATACACCAGGAGTGAATAGAAGCAAATCAACTTAAATTAACAAATTTAAATTTTATTTTCATTCCCTCCTGATATACATCACGCTCTGATTAGATCTCTCTATATATATTGCACATACGTGATAACGATGTTGGTGGGGGGGGGGGTATGATCAACACTCATAGTCACACTGACTGAGTGCAGCATTTTGTTTTGCTCAAACTGTTATTAATTGCCTCCGAAATATGGAACTAGAATATTAATTTGTGCCCCAAACACTGCTGCAAAGCAGACTAGCGTGTGGTCTGACTGATGAACGCTGCTGATAGACACAATGCTGTAACATAGGGTGTCAGTACATTTCTTTAGTTTACTCATCTTTGATTACAGCTCTTTGATTCACAATATTCGATCACAATCTTGACGGGGTATTGGCTTCATTGTTAATAAAATAGATGAACAAATCTACTTGTTCTGAATTGTACTGAATGTAGTCAGCAGCCATGGAATGCAGCCTCATCGTATATAAGGCTGCCCCAGCTATAGTAACCTTGGTGTGGACAAAAGACCTGGGATACAGCTTTTTCATATACGAGGCTGCACCTATGGGTGCCTATACGTAACCCATAACAAATCTCAACTGGCTAAAGTTCAACAAACACTTCAGCAACAACGTCCGACCCTAACGTTTGACAAAATGTTAGAAGATTAAAAACTATTGTCTTTAATGATCCGTCGTTGCACATGCATGTTGTAATGTTCGGTGACAACCGGTTGAAACGATGAACATATTTAGAATTCAGAATTTCACAAATTCATAGGTAACCCGTAGGGTAAATTACCCTACGGATTTGTTACGGATTTCATGAGGAAACCTGAACGAAATCCATACGGATTACTTAAAAAGAACTTGTCGTTACAGTGCTCCTTCCACCTCTGCAACTTCTTAGTCAAGTTTGTCTTAAAATCATTAAATGTACACAGAGCAGAAACAGAGTCTGTGGTGGCAGAGCCATTATACAGCATTTCAATCAACTATCTGACAAATCTGTACAATAAAATGCTGAGCTCCCAACGCTAAAATTGCAATGTTTCACTTTAAGGTATTTTATTCAGGACGGTTTGTCCTGCATGTAATTTTTCCTTTCATAGTAAAATTTAGCCTACCCTGTACGGATTACTTAGATTTTGAGCGGATTTGCTCATTCGTGAAGGAACAAATCCGTACATCAAACTGGGAAAATTCGAGCCCTGCGTATATGGTGTATATTTCACGGTGTTTTAATTTTCGCGAATTTCGCAAACGCGTCTCCGAAATTGTCCGTCAAGTCTGAATTCGTGAAAATATCTGTACGCGAAAAATATGGCCTTTACAGTAGTCGAGTGACACCCCATAAATAGCTTCACAACCATGAATATTGTTTTCAGCGGAACATGGCAGACGATTCCTGAACGATTCTGAATGATTTCTGAATGAAATGGGATTGTCGGCTGTGTGACGGCTGCAATAACACCTGTCAAAATGACCGTTTACGTGCAAGGAATTTTGGTTTTACACGATCTGGAGCATTGATTGCGCAAGGTTGCACAGTTAAAAGAAAATATAAATTTGGCTATGTTTAGCACAGGACTTCGAAGGTAATGCCACGGCACTGGTAAGCCCATTTAACATTTTGAACACTCGAGTTTACAAACTTAAAGTTGCTACTATTGTGCTGTGCTCAAACCTAGTTTGAGACCCTAGTGTAGCTCATAGGGTCTATGTACCCCCAGTACATGCCGGAACATACCGTGGCTCGTTATATGACCGGAGACGACCCTCTGGCGGGAACAAATCTGATAATGGGTTAGCGGTTTAGCGGTTGGGTTACGGAGTAGGCATAGGCGATCCCTAGACTCCGTTAGATGGCGTCAGGCGGAGGTAAGAGGTCGGATATTGAGATAAAGTAACCAGGTACTCCGGGGCAGCTACCCTTAGAGACATAGACGTCCTGCAGCCCTCAGTTATATATATAGTTTGCACTCGGATGTGCCACTAAACTCGGTGACAGTTCAACCTGTGTGGGAAAACTTTGGCATTTACTCTGGGCAAGCATAACGTCATTTTGCAACATGACCGAATTTCCAAATGAATTGTGGTTCAGCTTGCTTATATAGTTGTTATCGATGGAACCGAACCTTTGCCTAATGCCAAGATGTTAAGTTTGTGCACTATGGCTGGCGGCCAGTCATGTGAGCTTTTTACGATAAATTGTCTACTATGTATTATTGTTAATGTTATGGTTAGGTGTTGTTCTGCAGACTGCAGGTAGCTTGACACTATTTTAGGCGACTTGGCATTTCACTTCTAGCATTCCCAGTTCTTCTGTTAGCAGAATTAGGTTGAATAATGGTAGTTGCTCGGGCAGGATAGGATGCTACACTGCTTATAATTTACATACATAAATGCACTGAAAAGTAGATTATTAAACTAATTTATGTCGTTTTGCGTTTGCGCCAAACGATGAGTGACCGTTTTCTCCAACAACTCGTGCTAGTCTGCTGTGTAAATTTAAAAAGAACAAACAACAATCTCTTCTCCAGAAGTACGAAAAAGATAAGACATGCGCGTACAAATAGGTTCGCACCTTACCATACCATTCACAAGTTGAATAATTACGCTAAAGTCCGTTTATACTGCAGTCTCTCAGTGGATAGAAGGCGTACCAGCGCAGTAGAAACAATTTTTACTTCAATTGAGTTAATAGACATGAAATTTACTTCTTTTTGTCCACGCGCCATGGTGTTAATGCGCTGGCTTACCCGACTTTTGCCACGATACAAAATCGATATTGACGAATTTGCAACGAGTCGGTGTTCAATATATATGCATCAGATTAACGTCTGTCCAGTTGTTAAAATTACAAAATAATTAACAGCTTTTTTTCATGGTCACTGCCAGGTAATAACTTGTTTACTATTTGTTTCTCGAATGAATAGAATATTGTTCTGTGGAATATTAATGCGAATGCTGGGCAATGCGTGGCATCGGAATCATTGAAACTCAGATATTAGCAATTTCAGCGGAATAAAGAGAATGAATCATTGTGCAGAAGACAAAGTATTGGATATGTTTATAGTCAGAATTATGTTAACCGTGCTAGCGATTCCCTTCCATAAACGCTGAAGACAAAGTGAATGGTACCATAGATGCCTCGTCACCTACAACACTTCGGGCGTGGCTGCGTAGTGTTAACCAGCCTAGGCTTTACCACACTCCTGCTCGGAACAGCCTGGGTCGGGCTAGACTACTGGTACTAATACTTAATAGATTAGTATATAGTAGTCTAGTACTACTAATATACTAAGTAGCTGTAGTAGTGATACATATGTAACCAAACCGGTATGCCTCTTGGGTTTGGGTTACATTATTGTATCTATTGTAGTAGGTTCCTCTAGTACTAGTTAGCCCGGCTACAGGTTGGCTGCCGGCGAATTGTACGCGGGCTATTAGTTAATAGATGCTATGTAGGTGTTACTATATAGGCTATAGGCCTATTACTAAGGCCGAGGCTCTATACTATAGGCCGCGCGGATAGCATAGCGTCAGGCCTGCTTAGCTCTATAGCGTATATAGGGGCAAATCCACGTTTAGGGCAGCTTATGTATCGACGAAAGTGATGCACGGAGTTGCTGGTGTAGTTCATCAACCTGTGCACGAGACTTTCCGGTGATGATCAGAGAATGATGCACCCTACCCGTTAAGCCCTTAACTGCCACTAGTCGATAAAAGTGATAACTCATAGGCTTAGCGTATCGCAAGTGTTGTGTAGGCGTTAGGTTAGCGATTAGGGTTTTGACATCATTCCTTATTACGAGAAAAAAAGTCCGTGTGCATCATGTTTATGCTAACAGAAAGTCGTGCTGCATCACTTCATTGATACCTAAGGTTGCCTAAAGTGGAATTTTGCACCGTAACTATGCTCCAGATCCTAGCTCTGGCTAGGCCTACTTATCAGCCTCTAGGAACTATAATCGCTAGGGACCTACTATAGCTCAGAGGGCTGGTATTGCGGGTTATATTTTTTTTTTGTGTTTGTTTAGATACCTTATAGCAGGGCTCGCGTCGCTTTACAGCGGCTGGTCGAGTAGGGCCCGGGCTTTTTGACTATAAGCCGCGTACAGTTAGGCGCGCTTGTAGGGTATTTCGTGGCTTTGGCCTTTTGTGTGTGTGTGTTTTTGGTGTGGTCCTGCTTGCGGGTACGGTATTTCGCTTGTTTGGTTGTTTTTTTGTTGTTTGTTTTTATTGTTGTTTACTTTCTCATTCTTTTTTTTTTTTTTGTTTTTTGTTTTTTTTTTGTTTTTGTTTTGGTGT